ATCCCCAACCACCCTCAACACCCCCAAACACCCTGCAGACCACCAATGTGGCCCTGGCTGATGAGAAGCGGCGGATGGACATCCTGCTGGCCCGGCAGTACAACCTCATCAGCTGCCTGCTGGAGCAGGGCAGCAGGAACGGCCGCGGCAACGGCGGCGGCGGCGGGCGCGCGGCGGCTCGCGGCGCGGCCATGCAGGACACGCCAGACTCGGCGCTCGGTGGGTGCGGGGGGCATGTGCGCGGGGTGGCGTCTGGGGCTCATTTGTATCCCGCCCAGGTCACCACGAATGCAACAATCCCTCGAGTACTGTATTCATCTCTTCTGTCAGAGCAGCCCCGGCTCTTGCGACCTCTTCCACCCACCGCGGCCCCCTCCTGTAAGCACACCGCTCTTTTCCCATACTGATGTCCACGTCCGTCCTCTTGCTGCCCCGATGCCGGCCACCATGTACCCCCACCAGCCCGCATCGAGAGCATGCGGCGCTCTATAGGCGTGGCCGGCGCGACCACCACCACCGACCAGCTGCAGCTGCTGGAGGTCCTAGGAGAGGGCGCGTTCGGCAAGGTCTACAAGGGTGGGCGGCGGGGGCCTGTTTGCATACGACTGTTTGATGTCGTGTGTTGGATTCTGCTGAAGGGCATGTGCTTTGGCGCACGAAGCATGGCGCGAGAGCCTTGGCCGACTCGCCGCACGCAGCGCAGTGCCACTTGGAGGGTGCCGATTCGCCCCTCTGGCTCGACCGATGCGCGCTGCACTTCTGGCATTGCCCGCAAGCGTTGCGCGCGACCTGCCCCGCTGGTTCCTCTTCCACAGGTCTGTGGCGGGGCACGACTGTGGCCATAAAGACGATGGTGCTGCCCGCCAAGATGAGCGGCGCTGAGAAGCACGAGCGCATGGCCATCATGGAGGCCGCCATCAGCAGCACCATGAACCACCCCAACATCGTGCAGGTTTGACCCGCGTTTGACCGGGGCTGGGCGCCTTGACCGCAGCGTGCCTATGGAGGGTTTGACCGTGGGTTTGACCGCGGGTTTGACCGCGGGTTCCCTGGCGGCCGGCAGCGGCACTGCGCGCCCCCTGCACCTCGCCAGCCTGTGCACGGCCCCCAGAGATGCAGCGCGCCCCCGCACGGCGCCGGGGCTTGTGGCAGTAGGGGGAGCGCCCCTCATCCCGTGCACATTTTGGCCCTCTCACACGCACTCCTCCGACCTCCTGGTCCCCGCCAGACCTACACGTACACGATCAAGCCCACGAGCTCAACCCATGCAGCCGGCGCCTCACAATCCGGCAAGAGCAAGTGAGTCCGGCGCCAAAACACTCACCACACACCACACAGCACACAGCACGCCTCGCCCCCGCCGCAGCCGCGGCTGTCGAAAGGCAGGCTGCCAGTTGGCATCGCTTGGGCTTTCTGATTTTGTTGGTGCGGAAGGCACACCCGCCCCGTCACCAGTACCCTATTGGATGTCATCCATGGCATGAAACCCTGTTGATTACAATCCGGTCCTTCATTTGCGATGTGGTGTGTTGACCCTGAGCTGCGTCCCCCACTGCCCTGCCCTGCTCAGGTGCGACTCATCTGCCCCGTCAGACGACCCCTTCTCCACAGACTCTCACACCCTCAACTTCGAGGTGCGGGTCCGTTTCGGAACCTCCCAATCCACTCCTCATTCAGCCTCCATCGCTGGTCGCGGCATATTGCCGCGACTGCAGCGGCGGGCTCAACAACGTGACGCCCGTCACGCTCATTGCTACCCCCTCCCTCAATGGGCCCAGCCGGCCCGGAGCGCTCCTCTTTGTCAGTGGGCTTGATAAAGAGGACTGGGCTCACTGACCGCCACGCTCAATGCCCCTCCTTGGTCATGCCATCCATCACCGTAGGTCTCCCTTGTCCTGGAGTATTGTGAGGTGCGCAGCTCACACCCTTCAGGGGAAACGCATTAACCATTTAGAAACCTGCCACCCTCGGCCGACTCGGTCACCCAGGCACACGAAGGGACCAGGTCACGTGGCATCGCCGCTGCATGCCGGCCTGCGCCCCCTTGACCCTTGCAGCGCGACCGCATCTCCTTGCCGCCGCGGGCCCGCCTCGCGCCCAGCCGGCCCGCGCCCGGCGCCCCCGCCGCCGGGGCCGCGGACAAAGCCGCTCCCGCCGCCCGCGAGCTTCAAATGGTACGCGCGCCTGCCCAACCCTCACCACCCCTCTGCAGCTGGGATCGCTGCGGGACGCCCTGGACAGACAGGCATTTAAAAGCGGTGCGCCCGCCGCCACGCGTGATCGCCGCCGCCTTCGCGGCTCTCTCATTGGCGACCCCGCGGTGGCGCCAGAGGCCTCAGGTGGCGGAGTGATACTGGGCGCTTGAAGATGCACTCGCACTGGTCCGGGCCTGCGCCTCCGTGCCCGCCCCGCACGACGTGCGACCGCCCTTCTCCCCCGCCCCCCAAACCGCACGCCCCGCAGCCGACGGCACTCTGAACTACGCGGCCGTGCTCGACACCGCGGCGGACATCGCGCGCGCCATGCTGCACCTGCACAAGCAGCAGGTGCGCAGGCAGGCAGCCGCCCGCATGCGGGCCGTCTTGCAGCACCGCCGCCCCGGCCCGCCTCGCGCCAGGCCTGCGGCCGGCCTGCGTGGGCCGCACGCACGCTCGACGGCCGCACGGCCCCTCGTATCGCGCCGTCGAGACCCGGCCCCTCTTGCACAATTCCCGGGTGCGTCCCCTCCCTATTGTGCGATGATGTGGCAGTTGCACGCTGTGTCCCTGCGGTGCAGCAGCGTGTCCACCCCTCCGGCTTCCGACTGCTCCTGCAGGTGCTGCACTCTGACCTGAAGGCCCGCAACGTGCTGCTCAAGACAGACGGCACCAGCGACCGCGGCGTGATCGCCAAGGTGCGCCTTGACGCCGCTGCCGCTGCCGCTGTCGCTTTCGCTGCCGCTTTCGCTGCCGCTTTCGCTGCCGCTTTCGCTGCCGCTTTCGCTGCCGCTTTCGCTGCCGCTGCCGCTTTCGCTGCCGCTTTCGCTGCCGCTGCCGCTGCCGCTGCCGCTGCCGCTGCCGCTGCCATGTAATTTGGACGTGTGTGGCGGGTGATGCGTGGCGTGCACGGGTGGGTGAACGGCGTCAGCAAGCGCGCGGCGGGGCCCCTGTTTATGGGAACATGTCGGGTCTGCTGGCCGCTGGAACCACGCCCTTGCAACACCAATCGCATCAAACGTTGCGCCATACCGGAAGCACTGCTCATCAGAATGCTGTCATGCAACCGCATTGTGCCTGCCGATCCGCATGGCGTGTGCGGCCGCCGCCCGACTGCGCTGCTACCTAGTCACGCACTAAGGGCGCAGCCCCTCCACATTGAACCTGCCAGGTGGCGGATTTTGGGCTGGCGGTCAAGATGGACGCTCACACCACCCACGTGTCAGAGTTCCAGTGAGCCCCGTGCACATGACCTCCCCCCGCTTTGCGACTGGCGACCGACAGACTTTGACCGCCTTTGACCGCCTTTGACCGCCGCCTTATCGTTATCATTATCGACTGCGTTTGACTGTGGCCCTTGGTGTCCGGCGCCCTGTGCACCACCTGTGCTTACGATGCACAAGTCAGGAAGCTGCCAGACAGATTTCAGTTTTGACAGCCATGGCTGCGCTCAGCGGGTTCCGTCCTCCCTCTTCCTCTCCCACCCCATCCTCCGCCCAACAGGGGCACCCCCAGCCACATGGCCCCAGAGGCGCAGCTGCAGGGCCGCCTGAGCAAGGCCGGCGGTGAGCTTGGCGGCGGTTGTTCTTTTTTGCTGGGGAGGGAGCGAGGTCCTAGTGCATGCCTGCACAGGGGCCTGCACTTCAGCACCTGAGCCAGTCCTGCTGCCTCAAGTGTCGTGGCCATTCCTTACATGATGAGGGACTTCAAAAGCTGAATGGGGCATCAGATTTCTGATACAGTGCCCGTCTCACTGCAACGACACTTGCTGACCGCCACCAATTTCCTTCGGCCTCGCCGCCTGCCAATCGCAGACGTGTACAGCTTTGGCATCAGTGAGTGCCAGGACTGCTCAGGGTTGAGAGGCAGGGGGGGACCTGCGGTGGCGGCGCACTCGGCCGCGAGTCTGCAAGCTGTGCTCGAATCGCCCAGGCTGCATGCGCGAGCCGGGCCTGCCGGCTGCGCAGTCGGCGTTCACCGCCGTGTTGCACGCGTTGGGCTTTATACCCTTTCCACTAGGCGACCCTTTGATTGCCTCCACGCTTCCCCCTCCCGCTCGCAGCCCTCTGGGAGCTTTTCACTGGCAGCCACGCCTTTGAAGGTACACCATCATCAGCACCACCAACAAGAACAACATACGCCACCTTGCCACCTGGAAACCCAGAGGCGGACGTTGCCACTGCTTGCTGCACAATCACGTCCCATGTTCCTGCAACCAGCATTCGCTTTGGCCAGTGCAGTGCGTCACGGCTCTGGCCTCTCTCGTTCCAGCACACACATGGGCCGCCCACCCATCCACCCACCCATCCGCCGCAACACACCCATGCGTCACCCGCAGGCATGCCCATGGCCCTGCTGGGTCACCAGGTCGCGGTCCGGGGCGTGCGGCCGGTCTTCCCGGCGGGAACCCCCATCGACTACCGCCAGCTCGCCGCTGCCTGCTGGGCTGCAGAGGCTGATGACAGGTGGCCGGGCGGGCCCCTGCACCGCCAGGGGGCCCCTCAGCGCAGCGCGCATTGCTTTTAAGAGCTATGGACCGTTGGAGGGCTGCCGCAGGGGCAAGCAGGCGGGCGGGTGCAAGCCCGGACAACTCCAACCCCCAGTGCAAGGACACCCGGGGCTGCGCTCTGTCGATTTGAAGGAAAGGTGGCGCGGCCTGGACGTCGGCTCCCCAACCTCATGCTGCTGCCCTCTCC